AAAAAAGCAGCTTTAATATCATAGGTAGCACTTTACAGACATAAAGAGAAGAGAAGGAGACAAAATAAACAAGAGGAAAACATGCACTTAATCCTTAAGCCCTATTTTGGTGTATCTTTTCTTTTTAAGGAAGTCTTAAAATTACAATGTTCACCACATTCAAAAAACAAGTACCACCACTCAACTTATATATATGTGAAGATGACTGAAATTTTTAAATTCATGGTCAAACTCAAATTACCCAAGAACAAAAGAGAGAAAACAGTCAATTTTAAGAAAATCAGAATAAATGTGATTGCATTTGATAGAAAATATGTAGCAGTGAGACCCTTTTGCAAATTGGAGAGATGTTCAAATAAGACAGCTCTGGCATTGCTTACTCTTGTAAACTGTTTAAGAAAATACAGCTATCCAGAAGCTTTTTGGGAAATAATTCTTAAATACTAACAAGAAAACAAGCAGTTTAACTAAAGTAAAAAAAACAACAGTGTAGGCACATGTGAGGCCCGAGGTCATCGGTTATTTCCTTTTAGATTTCTAAAAGCAAACTACCAATATTTCACTAATCTATAATTAACCTTAAAAACTTACCGCTATTAAAATTCTTTTCCTTTCCTATACTCAATAAAAGTTAACTTTTTTATCTGGGTAACCTAATTTTGTCTAGGACACTCTTAATTCTCCTATTAATCTAGTAAGTTTCTTAAGAAAAAACTACCTACCACTTTATGTATCCAGTATGCATACAGCAGTTATTCAGAAAATGAGAAGCGTAATCATATCAAAGGTCTAATAAACTCAAACTATCCCCATGTAAAAAAATTCAAATTATTATAATGTTCAACAAGCAAATTCAAAAAAGCCTAGTTTTAGTCCACTTAATGTGACTTATTATATTCAAACTAATTTTTATATAAACTTGGTCAAAACATTGTCACATACCTCACCAAAACCACCAAAGTACTCTCTTATTTTCTCTTCAGGTGTATCTGGAGAAAGGCCACCAACAAAAATTTTTTTAACAGGTTCTTTTGTTTTCATTGCTTTGGCCCTTTTAGGGTCAATCACTTTCCCATTCAATTTATGTTCTTTCTGATCCATGACCTAAAGAAATTGAAGTTTTTTTTCATTTTAAGTATATTTATCTCAAATTCAAAGAAAACTTATAAGTAATTTTTGTTAAATATAGTTAATGCCAAGCATATGCTGACTAGCTGCAGAGTAAAGTGCCATATCATATGGCCATGTGTCATAGTGTGGTATGTAAAATCCAAAACCCAAACCAGTTGCCAGAGGCAATTTCAACTCATGGCAAGCCCAGATTTCAGACTAGAACTGCACTCCATAGGTTTTTTCCAACAGTCAGGATCATTCTGATATAAAAGTGCCAATATTTTCTTCCAAGGTGCTGAGGGAATTTTAAGCAATAACCTTTCAGTCAGCAGCAAGCACTTAACTGCTACTACTCAGAGACTACATAATACAAAGTAATGTCTAAATTTAAAGCCAAAGATATGAGGAAGAAGGTTAAAAAATTAACTATAACTAAATAACACTAGGATAAACAAAATCAGGCAAACCAGTACATCTCACAGCAGCCATCTAGGCCTAGAATAGAACTGCCCTATAGGGTTTCCAAGGCTGTAAATCCTTACAGAAGTAGACTGCCCCATCTTTCCCCAAAAGAACAGCTGGAAAATTTGCGCTGCCAACCTTGAAGGTAAGGTAAGTAAGTTTATGTTTAACCACTGAGACACCAGGGCTCATTATTAGATAACCATGGGCTGTTGTAACAAATATGGTTGCTACTTCCTCTTAGCAAGGACTAAAATGATGATTTTGTCAAACTTCCTTATCTTACAAATTTCAAAAACTATGTTTTCGTGGACTCGGCACACCTATTTAAATGAAACCTTTTTAAGCTTCAATGGTTTCTTTAAAAGTTTTCTAAAGCCCAGCCACAGAATGTATTCAGGAAACAATTCTAGAAATTGACTCAGTTAAAAAACTAGAGCAAGAATACCCAACAACAACAGCAAAAATTGTCTTTTCGACTCTAAACTTAACTGTCATCAAGCTACATACATTTTAGTATTTTACAGAGTGAAACCTATAAGAGCTAAAACTTGATGGAACTCTTCTTTTTCCAGATCTTGCAAGTTTTCTGCCTTTATGAGTGCAATCTAGCCACTATTTTAAAAATTCACTTGAGTGAGAAAAATGTTATTTTCTTTCTCTGAAAGGTTTTCAACTTAGACAAGTCCCAGTTTTCCAAGGTTTTACATTACTTATTTAAATATTACTAATTGATCAGAATACATAAAACACTACCTTATCTACACTCTCCGATTCTTTAAAAAGCACAAAGCCAAAACCCCTTGATCGCCCTGTGATAGGATCTAACTTCAGAGTGCAGTCTACAACTTCACCAAATTTAGAGAAGTAGTCCTTCAGATCTTTCTTTGTAGTGTCCCAGCTAAGGCCTCCTATGAACATTTTCCTGTAAAGACAAAAAGCAGTATTAAAATGCTAAACAGAGAAGCTGCCTTAAATATTAACCAAGTCAATAATAAACCTTTTTAAGACTACACCAATTTATCAGGCACTATGTCATTTTTCTTATATAACTTCACTTCAAGGGAATTCTATCCAAAAGGTCTTGCTTGTGACTGTTTCTCAGCATAATTACAATAGTAAACAAGCAACATATTGTTTCGACATGCTGCAAAGACATACATGTCCAGAAAGTAAACAGTGGACATTAAGCTCTAACATTAAATTTTACGTTAAACAGAGATTGAAAAATACAATCTTAGTTTCAGATTTCTTGTACAAATCTTCATTAGACATAGCCAAAGGCTATGTATAATAAGCATTAGTCACAACAGTCAGCATTGTTTATGATGAAGCTCTTATTCCAATTTTAAAATTTTCTCATTAACTAAACTCGTAGAACACAAAATGGGAAATTCAAAATCTCACAAGCTGTGAAACAACTTTTTGGAGTGTACTAAGAGCCAGAATCTACTCAATGGCAGTGGGTTTTAAAAGACTTTAATGAAAACAAAATATATCAACAATTTAGGAAAAATTAATTGGTAAGTAACTAGTAGGCAATTCACTGGAACATAATTTCAATCAACATATCACTGCAGAACTTCTGTGAATATGTATGCAGTAGAACATTAACTCTCTATAAATACTAGAAATGATCAGTAGGCAAGTAGAAACCACTAAGAAAAAAGACATAAACTCCAAAACAAATCTTTAAAATTACTATTCAGCATAACGATTAGCAAAAATCTGTAGAACTCAGATTTGGCATCAACGTGATCTTTTTTTAAAAAACCTGCCTTCTGTTACCCCCCCCAAGAAAAAGGGGGGGGAACCACCAACCAAAAAACCACCTCAAACAATAAACCCTAAACTAACACTGAATTCCCACCCCTTTACAAGGGATTTTCTTAAAAGGTAAACTCGGAATTTTTTATGTGAGAGGTAACATTAAAATTTCTGTTTATTCTATGTTTTCTTAACTTTGTTAACTGCGAAGTGGGTCATAACTGATGATGGAGTTTGATACTAATTTTCAGTTTCAGAAAGAAATGAAAGCAGACCTTTCATTCAGAAACAACTCCATCTTGTGGGCTCTAAGGATACTACCACAAAGACTCATTCTTGCAACAAGAGGCCTTTGAATTAGGGCTATTTTCTCTTCAAAGATACCTGATTACCAAGGTGCTACTTATCTTTCACCAAAAGCTTGTTTATACATCTACTAACAAAGTATACGGTGTTTTTTAAAGGTTAGCTCTTCCATTTAAACACTATTTAAGAATCCTTCAAATAAGACTTGTATGCTTAAAGAGAATTAGAATCCTTCTTATAGTGTACAATCAAATGAGCATTAACAGGCATCTACAGGTGCTCTATAGGCTATTCTAAACAATCATCTATAGCCAAATCCATGGAAAAATAGTTGGGGTATTTCTCAGTATACTTTTTCTTTCATACACATTCACCTTTTAATAGCCAATTCTTATTGTGGCATGTTTTAAGATACATTGAACTTCCTTCACAGATGAAAAGATCATTACAAATATTACCCTTTAAATAAAGGTGGAGGGCTCAACCGTATTATCTTTTTTTTAAAAAAGACAAAGAAAAAAAAAAAAGACAAATAAAAATTACTATAAAGCAACGGGTTCTTGTTCAGATATGCAGGGCAAGCTCTAAACCAGAAACTTAGTTCAATTAAGCTAAACATTTTTTGTTAGTACATCTATGATTACTACAGAAATTTTCCTTCATTAATTGAGCAGAGTTTAAAACTCAGTGTAAACTAATTGTATCAACAAAAGCCTTATTTTGAAGAGCTCTAAGTTGTAAAGATATTGTGGCTCATCTGCTTCTGAGACAGAATAGTTTGATTTTTATTTCACCAAGATCATGTTTATATCAGGAAAATGACCTTAATTTAAAATTACAACTGAATTTTAAATAATAAACCAAGAATGAGGCATACTTAATTATTTGCAGGCCTCAAGTATTTTTTCCAAGCATCACTCACTGATGCCTAGTTAATTCGGTCTCACAGCTGTAAATCATAATGGAAGGAGAAGCCTGCTCTGTTTTGTTTTTTTTTTCCTGACAATTTCTGGTGGATTAGAATGGCCGGGAAACACCTAGCCTTTGATTGAGCAGTGTTAACTCAGTACTCAAAGTACCGTTGACGTTCCCCTTTCACAGCACAGAAAGTCGGCTTTCTTAACTAGTTAAGCACACTAATTAATCAGGGGCTCCATAAAATGCTCTTTTAAAAAAATGCCTCCAATATAGTCTATATTATACTATATTATTATCTACATATACCTACTTTTGGGTTAAAGAGCTTAAGATATATATATGTATATAAACGGGTCAACAACATACATATATACAAACTCCATACAATGGTTATTATTTCTCCAGAGATTAGTAAAATATATCACAAGATATTTGCTATTCAGCATCTTTAGAGATTGATCCGGGAATTCTTCAGAGATAGAAGTGCTACCTTAAAGTACTGCCTTAAAGCCTGCTTTGCAGTCCCATCAACCACTGGCAGTAAAACTTTCGCCCTCTTAACCAAACACAGTAATAATTGCTAGCTACTCATCAATGCTGTTATGCTACTACAGAACATCCTCAGGAGCTTCTAAAATTGGTGCCATTGGTGGTGGTAGCCAAAACAAGTGCAACTCATGGTGACGGTATGAACAGGTCTGCAACTTCTTCTATCCTGTGCTATCCTCACAATCATTGACATACTTGAACTCTTTACAGTCAGTGTGTCAATCCATCTGGCTGAAGGTCCTCCTCTCTTCTGCCACCCCTCCACCTTTCTAAGTATGATCTCATCCCTCTCCAAGTGATAAGTCTCTCATGGCAATACCCCCCAAAGTATGTGAGATGATGAAGACTTATCATCTTTGCCTCCAAGGTGCACTCTGACTGCATCTTCTCCAAAACATATTCATTCTTTTGGCAATCGATGGGATATTTAGTACTCTTCATTACCACAGTTCAGAGGTATCAATTCTTCTGTCATCCTTATTCTTTGCCCTGCTCTCAGATGTAGAGCAAATGACTGAAAAGACTACAATCTCAATCAGGTACACCTCAAACTGACAGCATTAATCCTTTGGTAGTTTGGAGAGATCTTTGGCTGCAGAATTTCTCAGTGCAGTATGTCTCCTGATCTCCTGACTGCTGGTACCAAATATACTGATTGTTCAACAAGTCCTTGAAAACCAAAAAATATGATCCCAAGTCTATCCCACGTGAACTTAAAAATAATCTGAAGAATAGGTTTGAAACGCTCAACACTATGATCAAAGATGAGAGTTGTGAGGATCCGTCTAAAATTAGAGGCTATATATATTAACGCAATTCATTTTTGCCAAATTATTCATCACCAGCTTTTCTAAAATACCCTCCCAGTTTATTTTGCATGGTACTAAGCTTTTATTTTGCTTTTGTTACCATTTTATCATGCTTTAGGTGAAAGACTACATAGCTAATTAGTTTTCTAAAATGTAAATTTTTCCATGACAATGGTTATAATACTTGCACCGTATCAACATTTTGCCCATTTCTTCACCAAATTCCAGTTTAAATCATCCAGTTTCCCTGTCTTTTTCTTTCTTCTCATCTTGCTTCTAGGCAAATGTTACTCTTTTTTTTCAAACTTCAGTAAGTCTCTAAGCAAGAACATTAAATTGGCTTTTGTTTTAGAATAAATTAACATTTTTGGCAGCCCAAAGCCATTTGGCTTTTTTCCCCTTTTCTTGTGGTAAGGAAAATTTAACTAATTCAACAGTGGACAAACTATCAAATCCATTCCATCTTTATAAAACAATGTATTTAATCCACTCCATCTATATCTAGCAGGAATACCAAAAAGTACTTGTACAAAGTCTGTGATTACCTGAATTCTGGGCAAATGGGAATTTCTTTTAATCTCTCTAGAACATCAGCATTCTAACAAGCTAACCTTCAAATGATAAGATGTCATAAAACAGCATCAACTGAATATAAAGACTGAAATTAATAAGTAGAGCTATTTATTAATGTTTATTTATAGTTGTTGCTACTTTTACACAGAAGTGTAATTTCCAACAAACACAAAACTTTAAAAGTCCCTAATACTGTGCATTTGACTCCTAATCATCAACCAACAATCCTCCAACATGTAGGGCTTATGAACACCTACTGTAAAACTCTATTTTCAGACATAGATATTACAAAACTATGCCACTGAATAGCAAGTATAAAGTTATTGATCCAGCACAGATGAGGTGCAATATTATTATTCAGGCATCTCAAATGCTTCGCAGGATGTTAGTTTCATCATCTTTAAGAAAAATAAGTTTAACAAATAAACCAAACTATCTCCATCTGAGAAGCAAGAGCCTACCCTCGGGTATCTATACCGAAGATTACAGGGTATAGAACAGAGGCTGACACATCTTAAGTGCCCATGAAAATATGTCATAAATCAGAAAGGGCAATTCCCAAAACAAAACAAAACTCAATGCCATTGAGTTTATCACAACACATAGTGAGTAACACTGTCCCACAGGGTTACTGAGTCTCCCAGGAAACTGGTCTTTTTGTTTAGCAGTGTGATGTTTTAATTACAGCACAGGTAAAGCAAAATTTAATCATAACCACTTTTTTGTTTGTTTCTTAAATAAAATAATGGACTGCATGGATGAACTGTAGACATACAACATTAAGAGGGAAAGGCCAGCATGAGATGGATAGAAATGAATCCTAACATTTTTTCAATGCCAAAGACTTAAAAACAAAGAATTTTAAAATATTCCATTATATAGACAGGAAATTGGGCTGCTCAGGACATTCCAATAAAACAAGAGCACCAAAATCATCCTGAAGACTCACCTGTAACTCATGTGTACTTGACATAAATTCAAGTAATTATAGTAAACAATAATT